AAATGAATGGATACATTTTTAATGTTGTATTCATTTTTTTTGGTTGGTTTGTTGTAACAAATTACTTATTGTAGCGAAATTGTAGCTAAAAACCTTACAGTTTATAATGGTGAGACTCTCTATTAATTTTTTTTTACTTTCAAAAAAAGAGAAAAAAAATCATTTAATCAAACTTTAAATGATGTGCTTTAAAGAGTTTTCAAATTTTTTTTTTTTTTTTTTTTGGGGGTAAATTAATAGGAATTTTTATTTCAAGGGATTGTTTTAATTTTGTTTGTCCATTATTTTAAACCGGATGATACTAGTATGAATGTAGCAANCTTTAAATGGTGTGCTTTTAAGGGTTTTCAAATTTTTTTTTTTTTTTTTTTTTGGTGGTAAATTAATAGGAATCTTTATTTCAAGGGATTGTTTTAATTTTGTTTGTCCATTATTTTAAACCGGATGATACTAGTATGAATGTAGCAATAAGCATTTTTCCATGTTAATTTTGCCCATCATCATCATCATCATTAAGACATTTGATTTGTTCAGGTATTCTTCGGTACAATTTTTTTTCATTCTTAATTCATTATTTGAAAAGAAAAAAAAATTATTGATAACATTCATTCATATGGGTTAAAACAAAAAATGATAAAAGGTTTTAGGAAACATCATTAAAATCCAAATCATCATTATTTAAAACAAAACGAAACAAAAACAAAAACAAATCTTAAATGCGAAATTATAACCTGTAATTAAGATGAGCATTCGGTGTGTGTGTGTGTTGATGGTAATGAAATGGGCGAATATCCATTCTTTTTTTTTCTCCAAAAAATGATGAAATTTAGAATGAATTTTGTTCAATCTAAATTTTTTTTTGTTTTCAAAATCAAATATTCAATATCCGATTACCGAAGTAAATTAATTGATATAAATCTGATGATGATGATTGATATAATGATTCATCATGTGTTGAAAATAAGTTCAAGTTTTGCCCAAAATACTTTATTGATAATCGATCATCTTTTTTTTAAAAAAAATAATCAATCAATGTCATGATTATTGATTCGATTGATGATCATTGATGTATAAAAATAAATATAAAGAAAATTTATCTAACAAACAAAAAAAAAGATCATATAATTAAGTGGTGAATGGATGTTCTGTTTTTTTTTCTGTTCATTTGAAATTCGCTACAAATTGGATACATTAGTTATTTAATTCACTTCTATGACGCATGCTCAGGTTATTCAAATTGAATCGCTGTTGCTAACCGAACAAAAAATGTAGCCAAAAAGTCATTTTTTTCTGGGCAAAAAAAAATGATGATATTCATGAGAATTCCTATTCACAAAAGATCACAATTACAAAACAGAAGTGAAAAAAAATATGAAAAACTTTAAATGAATAAACATTGTTGACACTATGATTCATGATGTATTTCAATAAAGACAATCCAGGCAATAAAAAAAATGGAAGAAAAATTCAGTCCAAAAAAAAAAGAAATAAACTTTTAGTTTAGATAACATCAATATTTTCTTTTTGAAAATAAATTTGTCTGATTGTTGTTTTTTCCCAGACAAGAATTTCATTTCTTTTTTTTCCAAACAAAAAAACATTCACTCATCATTATCATCATCATCATCATCATCAAAAGAAACGATGCTAATTTCTAATTCAATTTCATTTTAATTATTAATTTCTTAATTTTCAATGCCATTATTCATTAGTTGATAATGATCATAATGAATTTTTTTTCAGTTTTCTTCTTTTTTTTCGAATGTCTAACAAAAAAAATTATTGTTTTAACAATGGTAAAATGGTCAAATTCTTGTTTCAAAATGATAATAATAAATTCATAAAGATGACCACTGAATTTCATTATTATCATTGTTTAATGTATGATTTGATGATTAAATCAGACACATTTATTTAATTGTGAATGAAACAACATTTGTAAAATATGTGTGAAAATCATCATAATCGTTTTGTTTTATTGATGTTGGACAAAAAAACAAACAAATGATATGATTCTATCATTTTAAATTATCTATAAGGAAATTTATCAGGAATTTATAAGGAATTTTATCAACTGAAATGAACTGGTATGAAATTGATCAAAATTTTGTTTTTTGAATTTTCAAATGATTTGTTTTGATTACCTAATCTATCAATCGATATTGACAATGTTTTTTCTTGATTAGCAATTTTGTTTATTATTTTCATCATCATCATTAACATTTCTCTTTTTTTCAATCTTATCTTTTTCTTGTTGTTGTTGTTGTTTGCCTGTTGTTTATTCAGAAAAACAAATTCGGATAACATTACAGGATTTTCTAGGATGCTAACACACGCAAAAAAAAATAAAAAATGATTCGATTTCCAATGAAATAAAATCAAGTCATTCAAGTGCACAATATCAATGATCGATTATTGATTAATTTATTGTTTGTTTGTTTGTTTTTTTCATTAACATTATTTTTTTGCTACATTTAAAAAAACTTTTTGATACTGTAGCTATTTTTTTCCGGGTAAGGAAATAATAATCGATCGATACTATCGATATGATCATCATGATCATAATCAATGAATGAAACTGGAAATGAAATTGTTCCATTAACAACAACAACGACAACGTAAAAAAAACAAGAATCCATTCAAATCATTATTCAACTTGACTTCTGCTACGTCGTCGTCGTCGTCATAGTTCTGGTGGTAATGTTTTCTGTTCTTGTTGTTGTCGAAGTTGTAGCCGAAAAGTAAAGAAGAGAAAATGAAGAAGAAGAAGAAACAAAAATTTGTTCGGGCAATCAAAACTGCTGCTATCTATTTTTGTTTGGTTGAAAAAAAAAATCTTTCATCTCAATCCAATTCAATTCATTTGAATTCTTTTTCTTTTTGTTGTTGTTTCCAAATTCAGCCAAAACCGACGACAAGAAAGAGTGATTGAGAGAGTGAGAGAGAGTATAAAAAGGACCGGCAAAAATCATTTTTGTTTTTTCAGTTTTGGAAGAAAAAAGAAAAAATTTGTTTCAACATTGAATTTAACACTCCGAATGATACACGACCAGATAATAAAATATATAAAACAAAAAAATAAGAAAAATAAACTAACTTTTCTTCATTCACAATCAATCAATCAATGATGATCACATAATGGGATAAGATTTTTCCGAAGATATTTCGAGAGATAGAGAAAGAGAGCAAGAAATTCAAATGATAAAAAAAATGATAAAAAAGATTTTAGAAATATTTTTCCCTGTTTGACATCATAATCATTAACGAATGCACATTGCATCCACATTAAAATTCAAAAAAAAAAACAAAGTAAAACATATACACATCTCATCGGATGCTAATAATTATTTACTGTGATCAATGGTGATATGTAATATTAGTTTCTTGTTTTTTTTTTTGGTGTGTGTAAAATCAATTTTTCCTGGTGATATTCTTTGATGGTGATGTTTGTGTGTATGTTGCAAATCAACAACAACAACAAAAAATCTTCTTTGATAATAACTTTGAATTTCGTGATTGATTTTATTTTTTGATTGAAAAAAAAAGTTTCCGGTGATCCATGTTGTTTGTAATGTGATTTTTTTTATTATAAATTGTGTGTGTCATATTGTGATTGTGGAGATTTTTTTTTAAAAATCTTTATTCCAAAAAAAAGATCTCTGTAAAATTTCTTTGATCTCAAACCAACAAATTATTATTTTTTTTCCAAAAAATTGTTATTTAGTTAATCCAACAAAAACCTTTGAATCAACAAATCAACAATTACAGAATTTTATTTTAAAAAATTACAACAAAAAAACTTCTATTAAATTGATTATTACAAATTAAATTATAATTCAATAACAATGCATAATAAAATTGTATAAAGTTAGTTACCGAAGCAAAAACTATAAATTATTTAATTATATTGTTTTTTTTAATTTCGAAATATTATTTTTATTTTTGAATTATTATTGAAAAAAAAAGAAACTTGATAAAAAAGAAAATGATGCCAAATTCTTGTGAAGAACAGCAACAACAAGGACGACAATCATTATTATCGATTGATCCATCTACAATTCTTGATTCATCGAATTATTTTGTAAAATTCAAATCAAATAATGATAATGATGATAATATCGATGATATTCCTATCAATAATTATGGTCAAGAATCATTAAATAATGATAATATTAATTTACAAAAATTTTGTAATCATAAATTAATCAGTCAAAATGAATCTGATCCATTCGAAACAACAACAACAACAATAAGGTCTATGAATATTCATAAGAAAATTATGATACCATCGACTAATCAAACTGTGATCAATTATCAGAATAATAATCAAGATTTATCATCATCATCATCATTATCATTATTGGAATCAAAAATTCAAAATATTTACAATAATAATAATAATAAAAATGATAGACAAAAATTTCAGAGACAAATGGCAACAACAAAGACATTGACAAAATTGTTGACATCGATCAACAACAACAACCACAACGACGACAACAATAATAATGATGATGATATAATATCAATGACAAAGAAAACAACAAAAATAAGAACAACATCGAGGTCTTCGACATTCAAAATAGACGAAAATAATAATAATTATTATTATTATCATTTTCAACATCATTTTGATTGTTGCTGTTGTTGTTGTTGTTGTCATGATTCTTTTTTGCTACCAAAAAGATGTTCATCATTGCCACCATCATCACCGCCATCATCAACAACAACAACAACAACATTATCATCAAAACGATCACCGTCATTATTATTATTATCAACATTATTACCGGTATCGGCTACAACAACAACAACAACTACGACGACGGCAATATTACCATCATCATTATCATCATCATCATCATCAACAGTTTATTCTTTACATCCAAATTCATTTAAAAAACTATCACTACCATCATCATCATCATCATCATTATCATCAAATAAATCGTTTAAAATACAAAAATTTTGTTGGATAATTTTTTTTCTATTTACATTATTATCATCCGATTTAATAACAATAATGATGAATATGATGAAAACATCGACAACATTGGAAACTATGTCAACAACAAATAATATCAATATATTTCCATTGTTAATTGTATCGGCAACAAAATTATCACCATATCAATTGTCACAACAACAACAGCAACAAAGAATATCACCATACCATCAACATGATCGTCTTTATCCATTTGAAAGAGCTCAATATACTGAACATTTACAATTAGATCGATCTCATTCGAATAATAATGAAAATAAACAAGCGAAAATTGATTCTAAAACATTGGAACAATTACGTTTGGATTCAGTTAAAAATAGATTATTAACAAAATTAAATCTTGAAATACCACCAAAAACAACCGATATAACTGAAGCAGATCGTGAAGAAATACGTGAACTTATTCGAAGAACCGGATTAGAAATGATTGGTACAACAGATCAACATCAACATAGAAAACGTCGTCATCGTAAAAGTTTAATTTCATCTGCTGATGAATTTCATTCAAACGATGATTTTGATGAATATGATGATGATGAAGATGATTCACATGAAGAATATAAAAAAGAAGCATCTGAAATGGTCATTTTTGCTGAACCGGGTAAGTGGAAAAAAAAATTTTCATCATTTTTTTTAAAAATTCATTAACAAAAAATATTCATCATCCATGTTAAATGATGAAGAGATTTTGAGAATGATAAACAAAATGAGCAAAAAAAAAAAGAGTTTCCCATTCTATTCGTTAACACAGCAGTATTTTTTTTAATATTAACAATGAACTTTGTAACAAAGATAAATGAGAGGAATAATCAATGTTTTTGTTGTTGTTGTTGTTATTTATCAAGTCAATCAAGTTGAAGAAGAATATTTACCATAGTGAGATAGAGAATTGATATTAGAATAACCAAAAAATTTCTTCTTTTAACCATGATAATGGTGTGGCAATCCTTAATATTCGGATTGTTTTCCATTTTTTTTTTTTTTGTTTCGCAAATATTCGTTATTCATTTTGTTGTTGTGGGGGGGGTCGATGATGAATGATAGTTGTCATCATCATCAT